CGATATGTACTCGAGACCACGGTTTCTCTGTTGGCTTCGCCAGGGGAACCTGGTGGTTGGTGCCTGTGGCATCTTGGCTGCTTGTTGACAGCTGGAGCAACGGCGAACCAAATCTTTAATGTCGCTGTCTATCCCAGGCCAATAGACAAAACTGCGAGCAATCGCCTTCATTCTGCTGATACCAGGGTGTGCAGAATGGAACTGACGGAGCACGGCGTGTCTAAGGTGGACAGGAACTATGACTCGATCAGCGGTCATAAGGCAGGAGTCGACGACAGAGAGGGAGTCCCGACGCTGGAATAAGTCCTTGAGTTCTCCTGAGAAGGTAATGTTAGGCCAGCGTGTTTGAACGTGAGCGATAGCTTGGCGAAGAACCGGATCGTGTGCAGTTTCGCGAAGTATGTCGGCCGCTGTAAGTGGAAGGCTGCGGATAGTGTCTGAAAGCTGATGACGAACATCTTCTTCGACGGCGACAGCGGCGATCATGATATCTTCATTTACAGTATGTTTGGGGATGAGGCCGTGAGAGGACCTTTCAGGTTGACCAAAATCCTGAGTGCGGCAAAAACGGATTTCGAAATCGTAACCGAGTAGGATGACGGCCCATCGTTGAAGTCGACTGGCTGAATACGTTGGAATACCCTTCTTGGAGCCAAAGATGGACAACAACGGCTTGTGGTCGGTCACCAAGGTGAAATGTCGACGATACAGCATTTTGTGGAACTTTTTAACGGCAAAGACGATAGCCAAGGCTTCTTTCTCGATCTGACCGTAGTACTTCTCTGCGGACGTCAACGTGCGGGAGGCGTGCATGACCGCTTTTTCGGAACCATCGGAGAAGCGATGGGAGAGGACCGCTCCGATTCCGTAATTGGAGGCATCGGCGGCGACTAGAATGGGTAGGGCTGGATCGTAATGTGTCAGCAGCAGGTCAGAACTGAGCATAGTTTTCAGGGGCGCGAAGGCCTTCTCGCATGCGGGGGACCAGTGCCAAGGAACATCCTTTTGCAACAGTTGATTCAGAGGGGCCTGTACATCGTGTAGTGATGGTAAGAAAGCACTGTAGTAAGTGATGAAACCAAAGAAGGACCGCAGTTGATGAATATCGTTGGGAGGTGGCATCTGGTGAATGGCTTCGACGTTTCTGGGGTCGGGGTGCCGGCCATTAGCATCGAAGACAAAGCCGAGATATTTGATCGACCGTAGGAAAAATAGGCATTTATCGGCCCTCAGGCGGAAACCATATTCCTGGATCCGTTTAAAGACCGAGACCAGACGTTCTCGCAATTCTTCTGGGTTGCGACCAACAATAAGGAGATCATCCAGGTATGCGGCCGTTCTTGGAATGCCAGCGATCATTGCATCCATTGTCTGCTGGAATAGGGCTGGTGCGGTCTTGACGACAAACGGCAGTCTGGTGTACTGAAGGATACCGCGGTGTGTGTTGATCGTCAAAAGCGGTTGCGACTCCGGAGACACCTCGATTTGTAAGTATGCGTCTGCCAGGTCGATTTTGGCAAAACACGTCCCGCCATTGAGTATGGTAAAGAGGTCGTTTGGTGCTGGTAATGGGTAGCAGTTCGGCTGTAGAGCGGCATTGAGGCCCGTAGAGAAGTCGAAACATATGCGAAGGGATCCATTGGGTTTCTTGACTACAAAGATTGGGGCTGCCCAAGCAGAGTAGGACACCGGTACCAGGACACCCATATCTTCCAATCGTTTAAGTTCGGCATCGACCAATGATAAGGCTGCGTATGGGACCGGCCTTTTAGGACGGAATACCGGTTGAGCTCCGGGAGCAAGCCGTAACACGGCGGGGGTGCGTGAACAGCGGCCAAGACCATCTTGGAACACTGAGGAGAACTGTCGGATGAGGTCATCGGTTTCGTCAGTTGGTACGGCCAGAGATTGTACCGCGCTGCAGATGGTTCGGATAGGTAGATCGGCCATGCCAAGCTGTTCGAGCCAATCGAGACCAAGTAGATTGAGGTTTGCCTTGGAGATGTAGCAGATCCCGTCGAATGTGACACCTCGAAAGTAGACGGTACAATGCAGCTGCCCAGTTAGCTGCACGTAGCCACCACAGGCGCTGGTGGCGGATTGAAGGGTTGGCTGGACTGGTGGACTACCAAGGGATCGCCAGAGTTTCTCGGAGATGATCGTGATGTCCGAAGCAGTGTCCAACTGCAAGCGGACGGTCTGGCCATTAATCTGGACGTTGACAAACTTCCTGCGATCCGCATTGACTTGGAATGTGGCCAGCAAGCTCATGGAGCTGCCAACCGGGCCAGTGTTGGGTCTGTGTCTGGATCGTGACCTCTTCTTTTGACTGTGGGTGGGGGCCAGGCCAGGTTTGGTCCCCTTGGGTTGTGCGGGTCTGCGGGTGGGGGCCAGCCCAGGTTTGGCCCCCTTGTGCGACGTAGGATAGCAGTATCCATCACGGTGCCGCACCCTGCCACAACGTTGGCATCGATGCTGTCGGAAGTTGCAATCTCGGTGGAAATGGCCTGCACCACAGAATCGGCACGGATAGGGTGGGGGCTTCGCTCGGTTGAGTTGGAAGAGCCGCTCAGAAGGTTGCCGCTTGGGGGCTGCGACCACCTGGACTAGACCAGGCGCGGAAGCGTTCTGGATCATCGCGGAATCGTGTTTCAAATTGATCAGCGACTGACACTCCTCGGCCAGGTTGTGGAGTGTGATCGTGCTGTCTTGCTGCAGCTTGGATAGGACGCGCGTTCGGATGTCGGTATCATGGGCGGACTGGGGGCCAGAAATGAAAACCAGGCACTTGAACTGGTCTTCAGGGAAGGAGGCAAACTGGAACCGTTCGCATTCCCGATTGACGATGCCCACGTATATGACGAAATCATCGGCATCTCATTTGGTCAGCTGTAGACATTGGTACCGGGTTTTGAACAGCGAGGACTGTTCGCCAAAGATCTGCGACAACGTGCGGACCGTTTCACCAAAGGGAACATTGCGGGGCTTCTTTGGCAAGATGAAGTTTGTATAACGTTGGTGCTCGACCGTGCCCAGTTTGCGCAGAAGCAGCCGGACCTTTCACGCGTCAGCCTGGGAAGCCAGGTCAACGGTGTACAGATCCTCGTACCGCTTATACCAGGACTCGAAGGTAATTTGAGCGCCAGGGTCATACAGGAATTCGGAGATGCTGCTGCAGATATTGTCAACCGAAGGAGTGCTGCCCGTGGAACCTGATCGAAGGGAAGAACTGGAGAGTTTTTCCGTTAAGGCAGTCATTAAAGAAATCTGGTGCTCCAAAAGTAATTTAAACTCATTATATGCAACTGCCATGGGTTCAAATACTTCGTCGCCACTGTTGAATACTGCCTCTTAAATACGTCAGGTTCTAACAATGTGATACCAACTCTCCTAGACGGATGAACGAACGACACTCAGAATTATTTCTCGCACGGCACGGTAACTGACAATCTCGAAGTCTGTGGGTTCTCGGAACTTAGCCGCGAAACATTAATTCACGCGAGTCGAACAGGTTCCTAGACCGAACGCAAAGTTTCTACGCACGATTTCCCAACCCAAGACTGAAGCAAGAACAAGACAGGCCTTTGCCACAGGCGCTTTTACTGGCCAAAGCTAAGGCGATTCTAGCGTTCTACAGCCTCATTTTTATATCACGAAACGGCGATGAAGGGGGGTTTTCCTTGGAAGGGTTTGATTACGCAAACCCTGGAAACAAGAAACATGGTTTTATGTAAATGTGCAAAGTCCGTAACTGAGCAGAAATGTTGAAAGTTTGGCGAGAGTTGTCCGGAAAAATGAATGTTGCTTGGATACAACAGTGCGTGTTTGGTTGGAAACAAGACTGTTTCTGGGTGCAAAGGCTAA